AGTGATTAAGACTGAGCCTCTGGAGCCAGATTGCTTTGACTTAAATCCATCTTGTCACTCCTGCTTGCTAGCTGTATGCCCCGGGGCAGGTAATTTAACCCCTCACTACCTGCAGTTTTCTCCGTGGAGGCAAAATGTTGAATAAGGTAAAAAGGCGACCTCAGAGGGTTGTTGTGAAGATTCAATATGCTGACGTATGTAAAGCATTCATTACCTGGTAGGTAGTTACAGCCAAGTAGTGTTAGCTGTTACTGTTTTACTGTTTGGATGTGTCAGGTTCTGTGCGAAATGCCGGGGATGGGCGTGAAGGTGAAGGAGAAGTCACCCGTGACCTAAGAAACTGCAGTCTCCTGGAGCGTGTACAGTGGAGCTGGGTGCAGTGGGACAAACGCCGTGCACCCCGCATCCCCGCTCCCATCTCAGTTAGCGCCTTACTCGGCTCAGTTTTGTTCAGAGCACTCCTTTATGTCTGGTCTATGGTCCCTGTATCACCTCTCTCCCTGCTGGAGTATGAATCCAGGTGAGCAGCACGCTGCCTGCTCACGGCTGTACCCGCAGCACCTGTAACAGTGACCAGTGTGCGGCAGGTGTTCACTAAAAGATGCTGGATGACTGGATGCTGAGGATGCGGTGGGAGCACTGACGGGAGAACAATGAGTGAGCCTGCATGGGACAAGGAGAACTACGGAGCTGGTGCTTTCTGCTTTGGACCTTGCAGGATGAGTAAGAGTTCGCCAGCTGTGTACCGGGTGGACAAGGACAGTTCAGCCAGAAGAGCAGGGTTTAGAGATATGAAAGTTTACAGTGTGAACGGGGGGATGGGTCACCTGTGGTCACATCGGATAATCTCATGGCTCGTTCACGTGGAGATTAGGAGGATTCACTTTCTGTTAGTTACTTACTTAGTGGTCAATACCATGTTCTCATCTAAACTCTTGCTTGCTTATTGCAGAAAATTAAAATTTTTGTAAGGTTTTGTATGGTAGCTTCATTTTTTTTTTGGGTGACGTTAACTTTAGTGATTTTTCATTGGCATAATCAAGCACGAATACAACTAAATGATGGTGGTGATGATGGTGGTGATGGTGATGGTGGTGGTTGTGATGGTGATGGTGGTGGTGGTGATGGTGATGATGGTGGTGGTGATGGTGATGGTGGTGATGGTGATGGTGATGATGGTGGTGATGACTGGTGATGGTGATGGTAATGATGGTGGTGATGGTGACGATGGTGGTGGTGATGGTGATGGTGGTGGTGATGGTGGTGGTGATGGTGGTGGTGATGGTGGTGATGATGATAATGATGGTGGTGATGGTGGTGATGGTGATTATGATGATAGCAATGATGATGCATTTGCAAATCACTTTCAGTGCTTTTAGCAAAGATTTTAATTTGTTACTTTACTTGAGACACTTAATAGCACTGTGAGGTATGTAGAATTGATTGACATTCTGGTTTCTGTATTTTTTCATTTGCTTAGGCCCTCAAAATACATAATTTACAAAGATACACCAGTCAAGGATGTTTTTATTACTAGCGAAGGCCTTGGCTTCTGGTCCCCATCTGGTGTCTTTGTTCTTGACCTGTGCTGAGCAGTCCAGCAGCCCGGGATCCTGCCGGGCCAGAGAAGAAAGAGTGACATTCCCGAGAAATCTGGCTCATGAGCCCCATTTTGGTTCCCCCTTAGCTTTCCAAGCGTGGTGATGCTCACAGTCCAGAGGCACTCCTGGGCCCATCGTCACAGGTTGACCTCATGGTTTGCGAAGCAAAGCAGAAGAAAAGGTCAGGAGACAGAGGTCGGTGAGCCCAAGTACCTCTCCAGGACCATTCATAACCCTTTACTTTTCTCTCTAAAGGCACCGTCCTTCTGCAGAGCACAAGTGCAGAGAGGGCAGGGTCTTTATGTTGTTTCTCCTGATACCCACCAGTCAGAGCGGTGCGTGGTACATAGAAAACGCTCAGTGAACGCTTGGATGAATGGATATTAAATGGGTGGTGGTCTCATTTTGGATACAAGAAGGCCCTTTGCCCTAGACCCCTACCTGAGCTCCTGTTTGTGGGTGAATGGGAGAGTGGGGAAGTTTGGGCTCCTCCCAGAAATTAGAGGCTTGCTAGTAGGTGGGGTGGATGTTATGTCCACTTTCTAAAACAGGTTAAATAAGTTGCCTATGGCCATGTGGTAGGTAAGTAAGTGGCAAAGACACATTCAAACCCAGGTCTCTCTAATGCAGTTGAGTGGCTTTCTGAGCTCCATAGAGAGAAATACTAATAGTTATTTATATGTAGTCTGTGCATGTGTAGATATGTTCATCTTGTGTATTGTTTCCCTGATGTTTTCAGTATATGAACACAATTTGAATAATAACAAGGATGTTTACCTGTGTAACAAAACCCATTCTTATTTGGTGTATAGCCATTATAAGTCGGCATGCTTAATGAAATTGATTTGCAGAAATACTGTTATCAGATCTGATCAAATGTGAATCATACTGCACACAAATCTTGTTTTCTAAAGCATCTCTGATGAAAGAAAGCAATTTGATTCTTTTATCTTTTTAGGAGAGGACGTTTGAGTTAATCCATTTGGATAACATGATAATTTTTTTCTTCTATCTAGTATTTTCACCTTGAACCTTTAGACCTATGTAAAAAAAAAAATTCTTCCTATATTCTTTCCTTTACATTTCTCTTTGATTTTTCAACATTTTAAATCATTTAAATATTTACATGTGATGTCTCATTATATTTATCATTTGACATCACCTGCCAGTGGTGGTTAATATACAGAGGGTGCCAAAAAAAAATGTATACACATTTTAAGAAAGGAAAAAAACTGTATTAATATATACTAATAACAAAAGATGAATACAAGTCACATTTGACTTCTGACATTACAAGAGAAGCTCAAAGTGGTTCCCATCAGTGTCCAGACACTTCTGATGATGGCGAACCACTGCTTGAGCAACGTTGACCAAAGTGTTCACTTTATACATATTTTTGGCACCCCTGGTATTTAACATTGACCACAATAAAGGTCCAAGAAGGCATGTGTTGTGTCTCTTGCTCATTATTGATTTCCTAGCACATAGTGAGTTTCAAATGTTTGTAGAATTAGTGAACTTATTAACTACCTGTTGTGTTAGATAATTCCTAGAGCTGGGTAGAGGAGGGGGCATATAGACGATACTCTGCTTTCACAAAGTACGTAGGTATGAAAGAGACATGAAGGAAATAAAGTGTTACCCACTGTGACACTATTAAGTGTGGCCCGAGTGCTGGGAGAGCGTAACTCATAGGCATGGTTGGAATACCTACACTCCCAGGAATGGCACAGCTGAGACTGGATTTAAAGCTTAAGTGCGATTGAAGGAGAATAGAGGGAGAGATAACAGCACATACAAAGTCAGGGGGCCCTGGATAGCGGCAGTAGATTCTGGAATGGTGAGGAATTCTGGGTGCATGGTTACTGTAAGGCAGGCAGGCAGAATGAGACAGAAGAATCGGTTTGCCTGACTTAATTCCATCTGAGCATCTGTACTGATCGATGGAAAATGGATGTTGCCCTAACAGTAATTGGAAGAATGTTTATGACCCTTTAATGTCAGGCTTAAAGGGTTGTTTTAACATTGTGGGACCTTGTTACACAGAAAACATAAATACATGTATTTATATGTAGTATATATTTTTATGAACATATATAGTTTTATGTAAAGTTGTGTATTTATATAGTTACATATATATTTGATTGACTTGTACACTTGCTAATACTGATTATGGCTTTGCTAAGGGGAGATTATTACCATTTTGATCGCAAAAACAGAACTAAGGGGGGAGTGACTTTTTCAGATCTTTTCATTGTTATTTCCCAACTGTCAAATATTCAGCTCTAGTAGGTACGTGATGGCTTGTAGGAGGGATTGTGTTTCTTTCTGAGTTACTGAGCTACGAAAATATTCTATTGGGACTACGTCCCGCAGCCTGGCAGAGACAAGAAGTTGGGGGACCTACTCTAAATACAGCTTATTCAGAAAAACACTTCAAGAAAGGATTAAATTATTTGGATTCAGCATCTAGAGATTAGAGAAAGTTAAGGATATCAAGTGTCGGGCTACTGCCAGGCATTGCTTTTGAAAAATGATGCTATCCTCAGCCACTGAGAGAAACAGAGCAAATGAGAAACAGAGGAAACAGGGCTGCTGAGCCTCTGAGTGATTTCGTGTGTAAGTGGGAGCCCAGCCGTCGCCAGGAGCATAGAAAGAGCCCATGTTGCATGGAGGCCCCTGGGCAGCGTCGTGGCCTGACTGTGTGTGGCAGGTCACTTAGTGGGAAGGTGTGGGTCTCGACTCGGCCTGCGGGCGGTTCCTCCTCCCCGTGTTGTGCTTAGGAACCATTTTCCGAGTGGAAGTTGGTGAGTGATTTTGCTCTGCTCATCCAGGGTTAATAACAACCCAGCCACGCTGATAATTAGCTGTGCATTAGATAAGTTGCTTAGCTTTTTTGTGTTCTCCATTGTCCTGACAATCAAAGGCGGTACTTGTATAAAGGCCCAGTAAAGTCCCTCCAGATAGTGGGATGCCCAGCCAGTCACCATTATGATGACTAATGTTTTAAAATTATCATGATCACATTATAGCTAGTAATGTAGTTAAAGGCCTTCTTGTTTTCTGTGGTAATTCTGTCCACCCCTCCCTGCCCGACGCCTTTACAAAGTCTGTCTCCCTTGCTAGACTGTCACCCCCAAGAGGTTAAGGCCTACCCACAGTCTCATGATGTTTGGGCTTCGAAGCGCTCAGGGGCAGAGCTCCTGCAGGCATGTCTCAGGAGTGAGGCTTGGGCAGGACCTGAAATGCTGCTTATGACCTGGACTTGGAGGTCCCAGAGTGCCACTCTGCTGTATTCTGTGGGTGGGGTAAGTCACTGGAGTGAGCCCGGATTCAAGGAAACATGAGTTGGGCTCCCGGCTCTCCTTGCGGGGAGAGCACAGAGTGGCCACCCTCTGCGGGATTTGAATTGTGATGAGTGCAAACAAGGTCTCAATCTTTTGCACGTCATGCTGGTCTTCGGAGCACAGTGGCACTGTGCAGTTTGGTTATTCCTACTCCAGTCTTGTATTGAGCTCTGCGTGGAGACTTCAGAAAAAGGTGTGCTGTCACCAGTGGACACCCAGGCGTGCTACCTCCCCAGAAGGTGTTGTCTCATGGCCTTAGCGGCTTCGTTTCTGCTTTATTGCTGCATTTTAATGGCTGGTTTGAAGGCTTTCAGGGCTTGTACATATTTACTTTCTGCATGAATTCCACCTTATTGCCTTTAAATGAAGCATCTCTTGTAGTCTGTTACGCATAGGAAGCAGTGTACCTGACAGCCCCTTTCTTGGGCTGGGACGGGGAGTGCATGGTGCATAACCTATAAGGTTATTAGGCCAAGTCTATACAAACAAAGAGGTCCAACAGAAGGAATTGATACTATGCTTTAATGTAACCGTATCTAAAAGCAGCAGTCATCGGTTAACACTTGCTATGCATCAGATCCGGTGCTTAGTAGGTGTTTCTTATGAACTGGATTTATTTTTTTCAACCATGAAAACTAAGTAGGATTTTCTCCATTTACCCACGAGGAAAGTAAAACCGGGGGAATAAATAACTTATCTGAGGTCAGAAGGCTAGATACTGGCTATTCCTGTTGTACTATTCCATCTGACGTCTCAAAAATACATTGTTATTCTGTTAATAATTGGGTCACCATCCGATGATTTATACGTGATGATAAAGTAGGAGAAAAAGAGCATCCCTGTCCATTTGCACTAAATCACCGTGGCAGGACATGCCTCCCTTTCGTTACGCTGCCCTGTGGTTTGTGGTTTGGTTCTTATGCTGTTGTGTTTCTTTAAAGATGTCACACGGCTCTATATGAGTGAGTGAGCTTCAAAGTAATCACAAACTCGGACAGAAAAACCCAGTTATGTCTTCCCCATCTTGCATTGCTCCGGGGGATTGAAGCCTCAGTGCACACACCACACTTTCCTTGGGGGTTGGGGGGAGGGTATGATAAATAAGAGCTTTTGGTCATAATTGAGAAGTGTCCCAGCACCAGTCACCCAAGAGGTTCATCCGCCCTGCTGACTTGCTCCTCGCTTAACACTCAAACTTCCTGGGGCAGCCAGAGTGGCCTTGTAACAGCCAGACCCGAGCACACAGTTCTTGTGTTGAAAACCTTTCAACAAGCCTTAGCCTCCAGATCTTGTCTCTGACCCCGCGCTGGACTGCTCTGACCTTCCCGCTAATGTCTTTCATAGCCTGTGTGCCCACCTGCCAGGACGGTCATCACCCTTCGCTATAATTATCTTCCCAATGTCTGCCTTCTCTCCAATTCTTTAAGCGCCTCGATCACCAAAACTTTCTCTCCTGTTTCTGGAAGAACTCTGCGGCCAGCGTAGTCCCTGCCATGTAAAAGGCATTCAATAAAGAGATGAACAGCTGTGATTTTGAAGTAATGGGTCAAGGTTAGTTGTTTGCTTCTTCTGCTTTTTTGAATATAATCAGTACACATATGCTAATCACTTTTTCATTTAGTCATCTAAAGTATATTGAGCATTTACTCTGAGGTATAGAGGATGCAGAAGTAAGAAAAACATTAATCTACCTTCAGGCTCGCAGGCTGGCGTGGGGAGGAGATAGGCAGTAACACCTGGGTAAATGCCATCACCGCAGTGTGCTCTAATGTCCCTGGGTCCTGTGTCCCAGACAGCACTGGGATCGTTGTTGTAAATTGGGGACAGACCCAGGGCAGAGCAGTTCTGTTCATGGTGCTTACCCTTAGAATTGACTTGCTTTTCTATTTCTCTTGCCTTATAAGCACAGGTCAGTTTTGGCGCCTGCTCTAGTGGGCAGGCGCCTGATGGTGCAAATGAACGGGGGAGCTGGCAGAGACCTTCGGAGATTTTCATTGTGGATGGGAAGCGTGGGCATTTTCAGTGTCTTCTTTTTGGGTGGGGGGAGGGCGTCACTTAGAAGTACAGAGATGAACTATAATCACCATATTACTAGGTAGTGTAAGTAGCTACTGGCTGTCAGGCATTGTTCCTATCTGCTTTCTGTTTTAGTTCTTACAGTAGTCCTATATATTATTGGATTGTCGGAAAAGTCATGACGTATTTTTCTTTTTTTTTGTTGCAAAAATGCGTCATGACTTTTCCGGCAACCCAATAGATATCATTATCTCCATTTTCCCAATAAAGAAATAACATGCCAGAGATGAGGTAATTTGACCAAAGTCATCCAGCTTCTAAGTGTTGGAAATGTAATTTAAATCTACTTCTGCCTATTTTTAAATCAGTCATTGTACTTACTGATCCACCTTGATGCTGTTGAAACTAACACACTTGGCTGTGTGTGTGTGTCCCTTTATCTATACAAAGTAGGAACTGCGACTCTTACCTGTAACTTTGCCATTCATTATGATTTCCTCTTTTTGAAGATATGAGATCTTAGATATAGGATTTAGGCAGCAGGTCATATTTTTGTTATGACAATATCCACGCATCTTAGTTTTTTTACTTTCATTGCATTTTTAAAAAATATATTATTTTTTTCCTTAGGAGCATATCCAAGTCTCTTAAATGCATTCATCTTTCTTTCTGTTCCTTAGTGTTTATCCAGGGGAGGGAACTGACTTTGATTTCTGTTTCATCAAGGAGACTTTGTCTAGGTGGCAGTGAGAGATATTTTTACACAGCTTCCTTTCATATGGCTTCTTCCGGAGCGCGAGTTTTTATCCCCCTTACCTGTCACAAAGTTAAAATAGTTGTTCCATTGAAAAGAAAGTTTACCTTTGCTAGTTTTTTGGTGGAGTTAAAACTATTGTAGAATGCCTAACACTCCCTCAGGATTTTTTAAAATAGAAAATCATGTTTTCATATTTAAAGATCCTGCATCTCTTTACTTAATTGAGGAAAATCAGTTCAGCCGCTAAGGCAGGTCTGACTTAGTCCTAAAAACATGGACAAAGGATTTTGAGGAGAGATAACTGTTCAGTCAAAAGTAGTATAGTGGCCAGCGGGAGAAATGCAATTCATTGTTGAGGATCTGGTAGTAGATTGGTTATAATCCCTTTTTTTTCTTTTTTAAATAAAAGGTTACATGAAAAGAGGTAATATTGGCACACTTACTATGTGGGGGAGACTGCGGTTCACACTGTGTCACTCACAGTCCTTTGTTTCCAAAGAATAGAAAGCGGACCCTGACTAACCAACAAAACTTGATTTTGTCAGAAGCATTTGAGGAGCTCATAGGGTTGATGGAAGATTTTAGAATTAGGTTTTGAAATGGGCAGGAAGAAAGGTTGACCTGAAGGCGAATTGTTTGGAGCAGAAACAGAAGCCACCCCACCCTCTTTTCAAAAGGCTGTGAGTTCCCAATTGTAGGCCTCAGCTGGACCTGAAGAAGCAGACAGCTCAGGAAACAGTTCCTAGAAGAAATGGAAAACTTGTAGTTGGTCTAGGTCACTTAACTAGTTCATGGCAAAAGCCAATGGGGAACTCAGTTTTTAGGATTGTTTAAGAGTCTTTTTTTGGGCCGAGTGGCGCGTTGGTTAAGAGTTGGCTTGGGAGCACGAGCTGTGAGCAGCAGAGCTACCAGTTTGGGTCCCACATGGGCCAGTGACGCTGCGCCCTCTACAGCTAAGATGGTGAACAACAGCTCGACCTGGAGCTGGGCTGCCGTGAGTCGCCGGTGACGGCGTAGGCTGCAGTGGGCTGCTGTGAGCTACCATGAGCGGCCGGCAGCCAGCGAGAGTTGTCGTGAGCGGCCTGTCCAATGGCCGGTGACCCATCTGCCTTACCCGGGAAGAGCGCAATGATCACAATACCAACTTATGCCAGTGAAGCGACGTCCTCCACTACTAGACTGAAGAACAAAAGGACAGCAACTTGTCTGTTCCTCTTCTCCAATTCCCCAACGCTGTTCCCTTCCCTCCAATTCCCCAATTAAAAAAGACTTTTTTTTTTTTGGTATTCATTTTTTCATTGGATACTTGTTATAATACTTGTAGGCACTGGGCCATGATTAAGACAGATGGGCGCCATCGTGGTACAGGAAGCAGAGTAGCAGTGAGTCAGCGATTAAACAGGAATTAGTGGGGGCTGATGTTAAGTATATCATGCTTGGAATGAGTACTCTCCCTGAGGAATGGAATACTGTGACTGTAGCCCCAAAACGCAGACCTGTAACCAGAGGTGGGGTCAGTCCCTCTTACACTCATCAGCTCGGTAGGCCAGTGGGGACCCTCCTGTGTTTGTCGACCTCCTTGGAAGAATAATTAAGACAGCATATTTAAAAGTGCCTAAAATACATTTGCCTGCTATTCAATAAATGCCGACTCCCATCTGCTTCTCTCTGTCAACGGTATCCAGCAGAGCTTATGGCCAGACAGAGGTTTAATTTATAAGACAAACAAAAACAAAAGCAGCACTGGTGGCTGAACTCTGAGCCCCTTTTCCTTTATTTTGTAATGTTTTCTGTGTTAGAATTTAGGGCCTCCGCACACACACCTGGTAGGTGACTCGTGAGCCTGTATAAGGGTGTGATGCCCTCACATTCAGACTTTTAAAGGTCCGCATACAGTTTCAGTCCCGACCCGGTGCTTGTTTCCAGCAGAATTTTGTGTCTTAACATATCATTTCTATGAGTTGTAAAAATTACTTCCGGGAAAATCAAATGTTGCTACTGAGCAGGAAACTTAAAAGGTATAAAGGATGTTTAAGAGATCTGAATGCCTCTGAAGGAAATAGGAAAAAATTCAACAGATCTGAGCTGCAAGTAGATTAGGGGAAAATAAATAGGAAATCATGCATTTGTACCCATCCTTCAGCAAGATGTATGTGTGTTTCACCAGTTGTCCAAAAATGTAGCTCATCAGCCCTTTCCTTCCTGTCTCGTACAAAAGTTGGATGTTTTTGTTCTTCATTCACAGATAGCATCTAACAATTTGATGTCCTAGTTTTTCGTCTCAGAGTAGAATGACCTTGTGCTCACACGAAGCCATTCTGGGGTGCCATTGCGTAGGAACTGTGCAGTAATCCTCACTGCTTGCTGTCGTCAGCCTCTGGACTGAGACTGATCATGTTGTAGAATGCGAGCCTTCTCTTTGAAGTTCCTCCCAGCGCCCCTTGCACACTTGGTGTGGCTGAATGT